GATATTCTAGAGATCTACAAAATCATGAATGGGTTGGAGAAAGTAAGTAAGGAAGTGTTATTTACCCCTTCACATAATACACAAACCAGGGGTCACCCAATTAAATTAATAGGCAGCAAGTATAAAATAAACATAAGTACTTCACAGTCAACCTGTGGAACTTGTTGCTAGGGGATGTTGTGAAGGACAAAAGTATAACTGGTTTCAAAAAAGAATTAGACAAGTTCATTGAGGATAGCTCCATCAATGGCTGTTAGCCAAGATGGTCAGGGACGCAACCCCATGCTCTGGGTGTCCTTAAACCTCTGACTGCCAGAAGCTGGGACTGGATGACAGGGTATGGATCACTCAATAAAATGCCCTGTTCTGTTCATTCCCTCTGAAGCATCCAGCACTAGCCACTGTGGGAAGACCAGATATTGGGCTAGATGGACCATTGGTCTGACTCAGTATGGCCGTTCTTATGTTCTAATCTAAGGGACAAAGCTGTTATGATGCAGAGAATCCCAGATCACTAGTGCTCTACCTTTATGGACTTTTTAAACTAAGTAGCACAAAAAACCCCCCCAGAAAACCCTGAAGCCTATTTCATTGCCTGAAATAGCTGCAGTGGCAAAGTCTATGAAGAGCCACGCTGGCGAACAGTTGTCTCCTCCTCTACATCCTACTCTATTTATCCTTGTTGATCAGGAATTGTGCATTAGCCTCTTTGTGGCTAGCCCCCATCCAGAATCTGCGCTGCAGCATCATTGCTGGACCACAACTGTGAATTTTGCTTAATATACCTGGGACGTCAGCAGTGAAGCTGTTCAATGCATGAGCAGCTGCAGCTCAGGCATTTTCCCTTCAAAGTGATAGCACTCTACATCCCAAGGGCTTGTATCCTTTTTTCATTGGACTTCTCACTTGTGATGGACTGGGGCTTAGGTACCCCCTTGTCAACATCCTTCCACGCTGTGTGCTCTGATACAGGTACCTGGGCTCATCTTTTTTTCCTGTACATTTGCTCTCCTTGTTCTCATTTCCCTCTCTCCTCTTTTTTGCTTTCTGTTGCTTAGTTTCTATTTTTGTTTTTCAGAAGAAGTTAGGAATCAGGAGATTCCCAGCTCTGCTACAGACTTCTGGGTGACCTGGGGCAAATCACTTACTCTCTGACTCAGTTCCCAATTTTCTGCTTGTGGGTTCTCTCCTTTTTCCCCCTCCATTTGCCTGTCTTGTCTATTTAGATGGTATGCCCTTGAGGGCAGGGACTCTGTCTTGGTATGCTACTATACAGCCCCTAGCACAGTGGGGCTCTTATGCTGGCTCAGGCCTGTAGGTGCTACCTTAATACAAAGTAAAACAAGTAATAATAATGTTTTTGATTTTCTCTTCATTTTCTCTTTCCTTGCCACCTGTTTTCTCACACCCAGTTCTGTTTTTTCACACATAGTGAATTCTCTTAAAATAGTGCTTTTTTTAGCTCTTGTAGGAAGCAATGAACTTCTGTTTCTTTGGAGATAGCCATGATAGGTGAGTCACAGGACTTGTGAAGATCTGGCCCTCTTTTGGGCAGTTATCCAAGACAAACTCCTGGAAGCCCTCACTCAGCCTTTCCTTGGCTTCAGTAGGCATTCTGATTAAGAATCGAATGATACCCAGCTGAGGATTGGGCCCTATATTACTGAACACAAGGTGACAGTGACTGAAAAATCTCCTTCAACTTTAAACCTCGGAGCTATTAGACTTTCCTTCTTGCTTATTGTCTCCAATTAGTCACAATTTTTTCCACTGTTCTTCACTATGAGAACTTGTAGCAAACGCTGAGGTATTCCATAACGTCCCCGTTTCGTCATTTGTACTTTGAATGCTGTGATTCAATGTTTTTTTATGCAAAAATTGGGCAAGCCCTTCGAACAGCCCCATGCTCACCAGCTGCCTTCAGGGAATAGTGTTTTCAGAGATTGAGGGCAGAAGTCATCATTGTAAATAAACACAGGAAAAAAACAGGAAAAAAACCATTTACCAAGCTATTTCTTATCGACATTTCATTATAATAGTTAACAAAATCACTTTGTATAGTCTTTTGCCATCACAGATAACAAAAATAAATAAATCAGGCTCAAACCAGGGACAGCATTGCAACAGTTCTCAGAGGGTAAGGGGGAAATTGGTTTTTTACTTCTGTACAGAAATCTATTATTTTTTAAACAAAACTTGCCCTCCTCAGTCTGTTTACTTTGAAATAGGCCACTCACGTGCCACAAAGTGAGCACAGAGAACATGCGTTTTGTAGGGTATGCAGAAATTAAATTCAGGCCCCAATACAACATATACACCAGGGAGCAGGTTTCTCAAAATTATTCATAGTGCAGACTTCTTAAGAGAGAAAGGGGGAAATTTTCAAAAGCACCTAAGTGATGTAGGGTCCCACATCTAATTTTAAAGTGATTTAGGCACTTAGGTGTTTCCCAATGAGACTCTGGCACCTAAGTGCCTGAATCACTTTTGAAAATAGGATGTGAGCTCCTATGTCACTTAGGAGCTTTTGAAAATGTTACCCTAAGTATCTCCTGGATCGGTTCCTATGCCACTGCCTGGCCTCCTTGTGACAACTACAGCTGCTGCTTCCATGGAAAGGGAAGTAGGAAAGTATTTAGGTATTTTTAACTGTCTTTAACACAATAAGTGTTTGTCCTTTTTGGGAAAAAAGTTAATGACATTGTCCCCTTTCATTTCCTTTCCCCATGACCATCCTTTCTCTTTCCTGATCCTCCTGTACATCCTTCACTGTAACTATGTCAACTTTTCCTCCTGTATCCTTGCACATGCTTTCCTTTCCTCTGCCCCTCCCTTTCCCCCGCACATGCTTCTCCTTTTTCCCTGATTCTCCCTGCACATGCACACCTAGACAACACTTTCCTTTCTGCAAACAAAGCAAGAGACATGAATGGTTACAAGCATTCCTGGGAAACAAAAAGGCTCACAAATATGAAAGCAAATTAATTTTTGTGAGTAATTCAGTGCAGCATTTGCACAGCTCTATTCAAGGTGTATCCTATTCTTTAAAGAAAAGAAAAGAAAAGAAAAGAAAAGAAAAGAAAAGAGAGAGAGAAAGAGAAAGACAATGAAGAAGACGACGATGACAACCCCCCATATCCAGTAGAATTCTACCACCTCTCTCTCTGGAGTCCATATTGTTGGATATCTTAAATGAAAGATGGTAAAAAGATTATTTTCTTTTGAAGGCAAAAGGTCTATCTTTAGGCCTGTATTAATTTCCAAAACCTGTACAGTGGAACCTCTTAAAACTAAGCCTCTTATTCACAGAACAAAGCAGAGGTTCACTACACTCAGACTTGTTATTTGCATATTGCTATGCACTGAAAAAAATTTTTTACAGTCACTCTGCTTCATTATAAAGAGAGTTTCAATACATCTGGGTTAACTATACATGGATCCATAGTCTCCTTAGGTGGGTCAGGAGTGTGTTAACTTATTCTGTGGAGAGGGACAAATTCCAGTTTGAAGGATGAGCTGTTGGCCAAGCCAACAAAGGTAGAACCATTATTACCCTCCAGCCACAGCAGCAACCTTCAGAATAATTCTTAGCATAACTTCACTGAAGAAAAGAGATTTACAGCAACAATTCATGTGTTTCCTTCATTTTTTAACTCAGAAAAGTCTCAATGCAAAATTAGGGAGGGTGGGAAGCCAAATTGAACAAAACTGAATACATTATTTACATTTATTTCTGTGTAAAGGGAAAGTGCTTGAATTTCCCTCAGCCCTATCCAGAACTTTCCTCATCATCCCAGACACTTATTCAGAGTGCAGACTGTCCTTGGCAAAGGAGTAGCCTACATCCTCGGTCTGATCAGCAGCTACAAGTGCCTGGACTAAAATGTCTTTGCATTCTCTGTATCTAATATTTACCTTTTAGCTAGCTGTCAGGTTAATGTCTCTCTGTTAGGGTTAACATTTATGAAGAGTATTTGATAACATTTGCACACTGAGATTGGTTCATCTGACAGCAACGATTCCATGTTGGCACGGCAGGGCAGTAAGAATACCTGGCAAAGACTGATTTAATTTCAATATTGCCAAAGAGATGAGAAAGTAGGACACAGTGGAAATAATGGCTGTGAAGCTGATGAAATCAGCTCTTCAGTGAAGAAGAGCAAATAGTGGCTGAAGGGGGCAATGAGGATTAATAACAAATGGAAAAACACAGCAATATATCCCAGAACATTTTGAACAGAAATCAGATAAGAGGGGAAAGCTAATGTGTAACCCGGATTAGGCAATGGTGGGAATAATATAGGAAGCAAATAATCATCTTGAAATCAGACACGAAGCGTGGGAAACCAGACTGGGATCCTCTGCACTGACTTGTGAGCAGGTTTGAGAGGTGTGTGCTTTCTGTGTACCCTTCAAGTGGCTGTCACCAGGTGGGATTAATTGGGAAACAAGCCTATCCCTTTGTCTTTGTGTGTACAACCAGTGTCTTAGGGAGGGAAAAGCAAACAACTTCCTAGAGTTCCTAATGGCTGCACAGGTTGCAGTCAGAGTTCTGCCTGAGGTAGAATTCTGCCACCTCTATCTCTGGAGTCTATATTGCTGGATGGCCTAAAATGAAAGATGGGAAAGAGATTCTTTTCTTCTGAAAGCCCAAGTTCTATCACTAGGCCTGTATTAATTTCCAAAACCATGGCAACCCTACTCTAGTGCAGATAAAACCTGACAAAGGGCCCACATCTAATTATTAGAAGAATGACTTTACAGGCTAGCTTTAAAAATGGTTTAAAAGTCACACCCTAATGGAGTTACTCCAGGAATAAATTTGGTCCTAAATGTAGCAATGTATCTGTAGTCAGCAGGGAAGGGAAAGGGGTGAAAGGTTACAAGAACATGAGCTGGCTTTTTATCTGGCATTACTACAGGTCCATATGCATAACAGAAAGTCACAGGCCAGACCAGTGAACGTGTAACAGAAGACTATGCTATGCTTGGTTAAAGGTTGTGTATTGATCTGTAAACCCGCCAATAGGTCTAGTGTTCAGCCATGCTCATGTTTCATCTGGTCCCATCTGGTCTGATCTAGCCTCCACTCACCCCTCCACTTGGTGATGCAATGTAGCTCTGTGGAACGGCACTGAAGACAGCACTGGAAAGGGTTTTCCCTTTCGAAAAGGCATAAATGTGCCAGCAGTCATGGTAGAGTGCTTCACATACAACAGGTGCTGAGAGGAGCCGGGTTTGCGGAAGATACCATAAGAGGGTAAGGTGAGACTAAGGACAAAGGCTAGCAAACCTGTTGATTGAATAGATGGTTTTGCTTTGAATGTTAATTTTTAAATGACTTTTTAGCACCGGTGAAAGGTTCTGGACTGGCATCCCCAGAGAGTGAAATCTTCTCTTTCAGATACAGGCACAGCCTCGGTGGTCATCTGGAAGAAGTAATGCTATGGATTTGGCTGCACTAGGAAACTGTCCTGCTGGTAACAAGGGTGGCCAGCAATGGATCTATGACAAACTGGGAGAATGTCTGTACTATTTTTTATGAATATTGAGTGTGACTGTCTCCCTGTTCAGTTTGGTACAGTTACCTGCCTGAATGCAGAGTTAAAATCAAAGGAGGCTGTAAAGGGGGGTGGGTAAGGAACCCAGGAAACGTGAAACAACCCCACAGACAAGACAGCCTCTCCAGGTATGTCTACTCAGTAAGTGAACACTCACGGCTGGCCCGGGTCAGCTGCCGTGGGTTTGGGTTGCAGTGCTGTAAAATTGCTGTGTAGATGTCCAGGCTCAAGCTGGAGCCCAGCCACTGGGATCTTCCCCCTTCGCGGGGTCCCAGAGCCCCAGCTTCAGCTTGAGCCCGAATGTCTACACAAGAATTTTACAGCCCTTGAGCCCCATGAACCTGAGTCAGCTGACTGGGACCAGCTGTGGCTGTGCTGAGGGGCTTTTATTCCAGTGTGGACGTACCCTCAACTATGCAGCTTCAAAGGATTTAAGGTAACAATAGCTGGCTCCATTCAGAGTAAATTGGGGTACCTTCCCCAAGGCTAAGCCTGGATCAAAGGAGACAAAAAAAAAACCCCTGAAAGGCATTAGAAAATGGAGGGGGTTTTGGATGAGTGAGAGAGGCTGGCTGGCCAGGATGTGCCAGTGAAAAGGCTGACAGAGAGACAGAGGGAAGACTGCAAGAAGCATAGGTTGCTTCTCCCAAGTCAGAGCCACCTAAGCTACAGATAAAGAGAGAGGTTCAACTTAGATAAGGGCATATATGTCAGGCCTCTATGTTCGTATAAACCCACTTCTTTAAGAGCTGTGTACCTTTGGGGCAAAATAAATCAGGCTTTGTATTGAAGAAGTTGTTTCTCTCTCACTGTAAGCACATGTTGGCACAGGCTCCCACTGAGATTCCCTGGCAGGGTCCAAGGACAGCTGGACCTAGAATTAGACATGATTAGTATCAGGGCCTATAACTCAGGCCCTGTTCTGAGAATGGATGGATTGCAGAATTCCAGTCCAGGAGAAGCCTGCTGTGTGTGGGGGGTGCACCTGGAAAGATGCCGAGAAGGGACACAGTACAGCTAGCCTGGTAATCACATGCCCCAAGGCAGAAGACAGTTTCACTGCTAGTGTAGATGGAACAAAATCCTTTTCACCATGGGAAAGGATTCTTAAAACTTGGTTTCTAATGGGCCAAATGGACTAGGGATGGAATTGCAGTGCCCTTTAATTCTTGGCCTTTCTGTTGCAATTGCCTACTGATCACCTGGGAAATGCTAAAGAGACAATCTGGCTGGAAATACATTCAGCACAGCTGGAGGAGTAGCTATGCCTTTTATGAGAAGAGGAGCAGGAAAGCATCTTGCTCAGTTTAGTCGCAAGCAGTCTGCTATAATTTACTAAATAATCCCAACATAGATTTGATGCCTTAGAGATTTAGCTGCATCTTGATCGAAACTCTAGGATGGGAAGTTTGCTTTGAGCACCACCAACGGATTTAAGCCAAAAGCTGCTGCTGAAGGAAGGGAGGAAATGTTGTAGTGCTGAGTGCTGAAGGCCGTGACTGGACTAATAAAGGAGGTAGTATGCTAGCTAAATAGGGAGAATAGGGAGAAAGAATAGATCTGTAGTTTAGGCATAGAACTGGGAGTCAATAAAGCTGGGTTCTATTCCAGTCCTCTTCCCCAGACTTGCGTGACCTTGAATAAGTCCCTTAGGGCCTGATTTTCAGTAAGTAGGCAGGTGTGCAAATTTCCAGCTACTCTATTGTACATGAGCAAATCTCCAGCTTGCACACATGTCTCTAGAGAGGTGTACACAACTGGGGATTTAAATGTACATGTTAGTGTGCAGGCAGACCTGGTAGTGCATCTATCTAATGGTGTGAATTTTAGTTCGTAGTTAATCTCTCTGTGCCTCAATCTTCCCATCTGTAAAATGGGGTAATACCTCAGACAGGTGCTGGGAGGTTTCCAGCATTACTAACTGTAAAGCACTTTGAGATCCTCAGCTGTAGTGCCTTCCATCTGGACAATGGGGTATCATAAATCATGCCATGAAAGTGCCTGCCACCCAGAGAATGTATCCAAATCACACCACCACCAATCAGTGTAAACAATGAGCACCAAGAAGGAAGGTGGTGAAAAGGAACAGAGCCCATTGCAGACAGTGTTGCTAAGGCACTTCTCAACAGGCTCAGTCAGACTGCCAGATTCACAGCAGCTGCCAGTCAGACCTTCTACAACTACCAAAGAAGAGCAGAGCTGAAAACTGAGCCTGTTTTCTCATCTTGCACCATTCATGAGCCCTGCAGAGCCAGGAAAGGGCTAGAAGAGGGGCCCAATTCTGATACCCATGCTCATGTTAATAATAATATATAGAGAGATACCTATCTCATAGAACTGGAAGGGACCCTGAAAGGTCATCGAGTCCAGCCCCCTGCCTTCACTAGCAGGACCAAATACTGATTTTTGCCCCAGATCCCTAAGTGGCCCCCTCAAGGATTGAACTCACAATCTTGGGTTTAGCAGGCCAATGCTCAAACCACTGAGCTATAATAAGTTGTATTATACCCCATAAGTGGTTCTACTGAAATCAGCAGAACCACTTATGGCGTAAGGCACTGATCATTGTGATGAAAGGTGTCAGAATCTGGCCCTAAATAAAAACATTTTGAAGTACGATGGATGTTACTATCTTGCAAATTCACAAATTATGACACCTTTTAATATGAAACATGCAGGTTTCCAATCCACAGCTTCAAATTTAAAGACGACACTCCAAAAATTCAGAAACAGGCAAAATTTGGTATATCAGTAAAGATAATTAGAACATGCAAAATCTGTAAGAACACATCAGTATTGGGTACGCATGTGTCTCTCTCGCCATGGATAGTCTCAGAAATCCAGAGTGAACTCACACAGTGAAATATGATTTCTAGTGAAGTAAAATGAGAGTTGAAAATTGTCTCAGTACAAGATGGAAATTGCTAATCCAGTATAGCAAACGTTGTTCATGACTTCTAGAACAGCAATTGTTATAGGGAAGTAATGTGGAAAAAAATATCCCAACATCTGCTAATGCTGAAGTTTCCACGAAAGGAGGGAGAGAGGTAGAGAGAACACAACGCATGTCAGAGACAACATGTGAGAATTACTGAGTGTTTGTACTGCATTTTGAAAATAAGTGCTAAGTACTATGATGATTAGATACACAGAGGAGAAAGATGGCATAGTGCTGGTGGGGTGGGGGGCAGCAGGGTGGGAGTTCAGAGACCTGGCTTCAATTCCCTGCTCTGCCACAGACTTCTGTATAAGCTTGGGCAAGTCACAATCTCTCAGTGCCTCAGTTGTCCATCTGTGAAAGGGGGTTAATCGCACTTCCTTACCTCACAGGGATGTTATGAAGATATGCACATTGAAATGAGAGGCACTCAGATGCTATGTGCCTGGGGGCTATAGAGTACCAGTGACACACACTGGGGGTGGGAACTTCAAGAGCACCCAGCATTTGCTCCCATTTTGCTCAATGGATATTTTACCATTGTTTTCAGTCAGAGCAGAGTTAGGCCAATACTAAACCCTTTTGAAAACTCCCACCTGTCTGATTTCCTGCCTCTGAGGAAAAGCAATATTAACATCTCACACTGCCCGTGAGAGGAACAAAGTAAACGGCATGTTAATTAGCTAACCCTTCCCCCCCCCCTTTTTTTTTTTTTTTTAAACAGACTTTGCTGAAATTGTTCTTCAACATGAATCCAGGAGTGAGCCTCCTGTGTTTCTTCCTGTGCCTGAGCACCGTAGTGTGTGACCGGGTCTACGTCCACCCCTTCCATCTGTTTTCCTACAACAAAAGCAGCTGCGAGAAGCTGGACAACTTGACGCAGGAGGAGAAAATGTTTGTCCCCATTTCCATTGAGTCCCAAACCATCCCTGCCTACGAAGAGAACCTGAAAGACAAAACCAAACTGGGAACACAAAGCTCGGATACCAAGCGTGACCAAAGGCTGAGCTACTTGAAAGACCTAGTGCATGTTCTCGGTATGCGCTTCTATGGCGCGCTGAAGGAAACGCTGAAGGGTGAAAACATTCTCCTGTCACCTACCAATCTCTACAGGTCTTTGTTGTCGTTCTACTTAGGGGCCTCTGAACAGACAGCAACTGATTTACAGAACTTCTTGGGATTCGTTCCCCCCTCCGGTGACCCAGACTGCACCTCCAAAGTGGATGGACACAAAGTCCTTTTGACCCTGAAGACCATGGATGACCTGCTCCTCTCAAGCGGAGCTGATGATCCGCTTTTTACCAAGCTTTCCTGCCTCTTCTCTGCTCCCAGTGTGCGTTTATCCGAATCACTCGTGCACAGCCTGGCCCCTTCTGCCGATTATTTCTATGCCCGAGCTGTTGACTTTACGAACCCAAGTCAGGCAGCAGAATTAATCGAAAGCTTTGTGAAGGGCAAAGATGTCAGCAGAACCCAGAATGTACTGACAAACATAGACCCTTCTACCACCCTGCTGTTTGTGACTTACATTCAGTTTAAAGGTAAGAACAACGAGCATGAATTTCAATGGCAATCTCAGGGGGGCAGCTAATGACCTCAGATTCATCTGTTTCTGCAAGCCAGCACATTCTGTGCCTCGCAGCTCTACCACCTTGGGGTTTGCTTTCTTAGGTTAAGCAGGATCAGGCCTGATCAGCAGCTAGATGACCTCAGCTGGAAACCTAGCGTGCTGCAAGATGTGGCCTTAGTACTGCACTTAATAAATAATAGCAGCCGTACTGTTTGTATTGTTGGTAGAGCAAGTTCTTCTTTGTGCTCGGCGCTGTACAAAAAATAGTCACTATCCCTCAAAGAGCTTATGGTCTAAATAGACAAGGCAAAGGGTGGGGAAAAGGAAGTATTACAATCCCCCTGTTACAGATGTGAAACCACATTTAAAGTAAGTGACTTGCCCAGAGTCACACAGGAAGTCTGTCTCAGAAACTGAGCCCAGATCTCCCGAGTCCCACTCCTGTGCCTTAACCACAAGGTCATCCTTCTCCCCTGGTGCATAGGCCATCAGTGCCCCATCTACAGACAGACTGTGACAGGCAACATTTGTCAGCCAGCCACAGAGTCATTGCCATGCGTAATGGGGACTGAGGGGAGAATGGAGGGAGATTTCCTCTGACTAGTTGTGTAGAGATCCATAGGTTTGGGTCCCCAGCCTATGAAACAAACCAATCATACCCACTGCCTGCCTGTTCTGCCTCTCTGCTGGCCCCAGGTGGGGCAAAGATGCTACATCAGAAACCTCCCTGAGTACTCCCAAAGTTCTAAAGTAATGGTTCCACTCCTGCACATTTCACACGGCATGGGTGGAAAGGGCTCCTGGTCTCCAAAAATGCCAGGGTATTTTTCAGAAGAGGAGGAGTTTCACAAGACTAGGAGAACTCGGCCTGATGCTCTGGCCAATTCCAACCAGGATAGTTCCTTTCTGCTTACCTAGAACTCCCCCTATAGTTCCAGTTGGATAGTTAGCCTCCACCTTCCCTTCTAAAATACTGGGGTTATGGACTGCTTCTGGCACACAGGAGCTGCTATAGTCCATCCAAGAGGTGGCTGCTCTTCAGGGGTGGATGAGCAATGGCTACGCCTACAGTCTGTTAAGGCATGTTGGGATCCTTGAAATTGAATGCCTCCACTTCCATACAGCCTCTCTCATGAGAGTCATGCACTACTACTGGGACAACAGTCAGGAACCAAATAATATTAAGATTTAATTAAATGGTTATATTGGGGTCACGTTGGTGCTGATCTCCATCAATAGGCTTTTCAAAACGGGCTTGGGGCTGGCCTACTCTGCTCCTGTTGCAGTCGATCGGAGTTTGACCATGCCTTTCAATGGGAGCAGCACTCGGTGCTGAGTGCTTTGGAAAACCTCATCCTAAGTCTTTATTAAACAAGGGTGGAGAGCCCACTTTTACATTGGGTCAGTGATACCAAGGGGTCAAGTGGCTGCGACCACCAACTGTAATGACAAGAACTCTATTGTCAAATATGTTGCACAATATATTAATGGCCAAAAGAGACCAGGGAGGAATTGTGGGCTAGTGACTAAGCTAGAGCCCTGGGAGTCAGAAGAACTGGGTCCTGTTCCTGGATGTGCCACTGTCACATGTTATGACCTTGGGCGAGTCACTTAAGCTCTGTGGGTAAAATTTTCAAAAAACCCTCAGTGACAGCAGCTTAAGTCCCCCTTTCAAAAGTGCCTAAATTCCAACTGACATTCAATGAGACTTAGGCTCCTAATGGAGCTTGAGTGCTGTTGTGCCTCAGTTTCCCCACCTGTAAGCTGGAGATCAGACTTCCCTATCTCTCGTGGGTGTGATAAGCTTCAATTTTTTTAATTCTAGGGCTTGTCTACACATGAAATGCTACAATGGTACAGCTGCACCACTGTAGCACTTCAGTGTAGACCAGGGATTCGGGACCCCTCAGGGGGTCACAAGGTTATTACATGGGGGGTCGTGAGCTGTCAGCCTCCACCCCAAACCCTGCTTTGCCTCCAGCATTTATAATGGTGTTAAATATGTAAAAAAGTGTTTTTAATTTATAAGGGGGGGGGGAGGTCGCACACAGAGGCTTGCTATGTGAAAGGGGTCACCAGTACAAAAGTTTGAGAACCACTGGTGTAGACACTCCCTATGCCAATGGGAGGGGTTCTCACATCAGCATAGGTAATCCACCTCCCTAAGAGGCAGTAGCCAGGTGGACAGAAGAATTAGACCTAGCGCTCTCTACACCAGGGCTTAGGTAAATTTAACTATGTTGTTCAGGGATGTGGATTTTTCACACCCCTGAGGAACGTAGCTGAGTCGACCTAACTTTTTAGGATGAACCAGGCCTCAGTAAACTAATTTGAGCTCCTCGGATGAAAGGCGCTGGCTTTTCGAGGCAGTAAGCTTATCTTCAGACTCGTCTATAAGGTGCTTGGCTCAGTGTTGGTGCTGTAGAAATAACAGGTACACCTCTACCTCGATATAACGCTGTCCTTGGGAGCCAAAAAAATCTTACCACGTTATAGGTGAAACCGCGTTATACTGAACTTGCTTTGATCCACCGGAGTGCGCAGCCCCACCCCCCCGGAGCACGGCTTTACCGCGTTATATCCGAATTCGTGTTATATTGGGTCGCGTTATATCGAGGTAGCGGTGTATTATCATGAGATGACTCTTTACCTTTTAACTTTGCTGTGAGCTGGGCACAACCAGAGCGGGTAGCGTTTTCTATAACAAAGCTATTTCTTTGGATCGCCTTCCCCTGTGTTTGAAACTCACCGTTTGATTTAGGAATGTACGTGTGTCATGTCTCTCTGCTTCACCGGTCTAGCTCTGTTTCGTCTGCTCTCTTAGGAGGAGGATGCACACACACGTGCCACAGACTCCACATGGGGGCTGGAGAAAAGCAGTTCAGACATGGGGGAATTAGAAAATAACGATTGCTGCAGCCCATCCCTACTGTTCAGCAGATCTTGCTTGGCTCTTCTGTTTACTGAAGAGCAGCCATGTTAGCTTACGCTTACAAGCTTCACATTTTCTCCCAGTAAACGCAGGAAAGGAAAATATATCAAATTCTTCTAGGTTATATTCCATGTGATCATAAGATATTACCCATAGTCATGGGACTGTCTAGATGGTAGTGACCCAATTAGAAACCAAGGTTTCACTATTCTAGACCTCCAAGTTGTAACCCACTTATATATAGTGATTTTAAATAAAGACTGAGCCCCTCTCCACATTACAGAATGCATTGTGGTATAACCACCATGTTCCTAAAGGGACTGTCAAGCATAGTACAGCCACAACAAAAGGGAACAAGAACCATCTTTGAATTCCTTGCAGGCCACACTTGATTAAACACATAATTTATTGGGGGGGAGGTCTTAGAAAATGTTTTTTCAAAGTTGCAAAAAGAACTAATTAAAAATCAACGTGAGAATCATAGAATATTGGGGTTGGAAGGGACCTCAGGAGGTCATCTAGTCCAACCCCCTGCTCAAAGCAGGACCAATCACCAACTAAATTTATTTATTTATTTAAATCCCCAAATGGCCCCCTCAAGGACTGAACTCACAACCCTGGGTTTAGCAGGCCAATCCTAGAATAGCACAGTCAGATGATAGGGCTGGGCAAAAATTTTCCACATCCAGACTGTTTTTCAGTGGAACATTTTCCACAGAAAGTCTAAATTTTCTGCAAAAAACAGACACTTAATTGAAAACCCCAAAACATTGGTTTTCAATGGAAAATGCTTGGTTTTTTGACAAAAGGTCAACATTTTCCCCAGAATAGAAAGCCATTTTCTGACCTGCTCTACTACATGGGTGCAAAAATTGTGTTACTAAGTATGGGAAATATTACTTGAAGCATAGATGAACAATGGTTCTCTCTTGGTGGTGGTGCGGTGGGGTGTGTGTGTGTGTGTGTGTGTGTCCAGAGTTCTCTCCTAGCTTGTCAGCCTAGAGTTTCAGCATGTTTCTGCTAGACTCTATGCCTTTCTCCCTCCCTTCTCTTGTCCTTCTTGATATAGGCCTCCTTCCTTTGATAAAGCAGTGTAAAGGTTACACAAAGCCAGTGACTTGACACTAGTTGAGTCTCAGTAAAAAAAAGCATTTCTTTCAGTTGTCCAGCTAAGATGATCTTTTCCTATTATACAGGCACTCCCGTCTTTCTTTCTTTTTTTCGTTTCCTATTACAAGAAAAAAGCACTTTAATATGGCTAAATGTAAATGTATATATAGAACAACAGAGAATGCAGGCTATACTTACAGGATGGGGGATTCTATCCTGGGAAGCAGTGAGGGATAGCTCAGTGGTTTGAGCATTGGCCTGCTAAACCCAGGGTTGTGAGCTCAATCCTTGAGGGGGCCACTTAGGGATCTGGGGCAAAATCAGTACTTGGTCCTGCCTAGTGAAGGCAGCGGGCTGGACTTGATGACCTTTCAAGGTCCCTTCCAGTTCTAGGAGATATCTCCATTAATTAACTCTGAAAAAGATTTGGGGTTCATGGTGAATAATCAGCTGAATATGAGCTCCCAGTGTGATGCTCTAGCCAAAAGGGCTAATGTGATCCTTGGATGCATAAACAGATGAATCTTGAATAGGAGTAGAGAGGTTATTTTACCTTTGTATTTGGCACCAGTGCGACTGCTGCTGGAATAGTGTGTCCACTTCTGCTACCCACAATTCAAGAAGGATGTTGATAAATTGGATAGGGTTCAGAAAACAGCCACGAGAATGATAAAAGGATTAGAATATCTGACATACCGGTAGTGATAAACTAAATAGAGCTCCTTGAGTCTAACAAAGAAGGTTAAAGGTTGATTTGATCAGTCTAAGGCTAGGTCTACACTACAGCGGACTTCCGACCTAAGATACGCAACTTCAGCTACGTGAATACCGTAGCTGAAGTTGCGTATTTTAGGTCGGCTTACCTGGCGGTGAGGACGCGGGAAAGTCGACCGCTGCCGCGCTGCCGCCGACTCCGCTACCGCCTCTTGTCGAGGTGGATTTCCGGAGTCGACGGTAGAGCCATCAGGGATCGATTTTACCGCGTCCTCACGAGACGCGGTAAGTCGATCCCCGATAAACCGATTGCTACCCGCCGGATCGGCGGGTAGTGAAGACGTAGCCTAAGTAACTAGGTGGGGAACAAGTATTTAACAATGGGCTCTTCAATCTAGCAGAGAAAGGTAACATCATTCAATAGCTGAAAGTTGAAGCTAGACAAATTCAGACTGGAAATAAGGAATAATTTAGAATAGTGAATAATTAACCAATAAAACAGTTTACCAAGGGCTGTGCTGGATTCTCCATCACTAACCATTTTTAAATCAAGATGGGATGTTTGTCTAAAAGATAAGCTTTAGGAATTATTCTGGGGAAGTTCTATGGCCAGTGCTCTACAGGAGGTCAGACTAGATGATCACAGTGGTCCATTCTGGACTTGGAATTTATGAATACTGTGTGTATTTAATTAAAGGTTATTTCCCACTCACTCCTGCTGACTATAATGATGTGACAAATGGGCTGGCAAAGTCTCAGTAGCTTGGTGATTGCCTTCAATATTTTTGGAGGGTGAATATTTCATTACCAGGAAAATGGGGATAGCTCCCTTCACACACTAATATTATTCAAAAGACCTAATAGAAACATAGTCTGATTTACAAAACAGTTGGCCAGATACTTAGCTGGGGAAATCTGTGTAGTCAATGGAACTGTGCAGATTTACAGTTGCTGAGGATCTGGCCCACCAAATGGTAATGAGGTTGACCCTTCACCCAAAGTCCATGGCAAAGCTCTCGGAGATGTCAGTGATGCAAAATCAGACTCAAAATTAACTATAGCAACTAGTACTGATATTGCAGAGGCAGCACAGTGTCATAGTCATGCTGATTTGTTTGCCAAACCAAGGACTTTTCACTGGCAGTATTTAGCAAAATAACGTATCACCAGCAAGTGAAGTTCCTCAACTGTGTTTAGGGTTCAAATTGCAGACCTTTAGCAACCAAGGTTTGTGTTTAATAATCTCAGTGAGATTAGCTCTCTGATCAGAGCGAGGTGACTCAAAGTGAGAGTTATGTTTATTTAATAGGATCATAGGAAGTGTACTGGAGCAGACCTGATGTCCAGCTAATCTAGTGTCCTGGCTCTGACAGAGGGCAGTACTAGCTGCCTCGGAAGAAGGAAAAAGAATTCCTACAGGAGGCAGCTATGGGATAACCTGCCACTTCCCCCGCCCCCTTGGGGAAAATTTCCTCCTAACCCAAAATAGCTAGAGGTTGGTTTAAGGTATGGCCTGAAGTGTGAGGGTTCCACAACTCCTTAAAAACATATTTACTTTTACAATGCTGGATATGCTTGTTTTCCATATAAATGTCCAATTTGTTTTTGAATACTGCTGTAGTCATGGCCTCTAATATCATGTGACAATGAGTTCCACAGGCTACGTTTTACAATGTATGAAAAAAATATTTCCTTTTATTAATTTTAAAGTTGCTTCCTTTTCTTTTCAGTTTATGTCCCCTTATTCTTAAATTATGAGGAGAGGTGAATAGCTGTGGCCAATATACCTTCTCTCCCCTTCATTATTATGTATACTTCTTTCATGTATCTTATCCGTTTCTTCTTTAAGGTGAGGTAATATTGTGCATAATACCCTTCTCATGCAAGCGTGTTTCAGAGGGAAGAATTTCTGTACTGTAATGTACTTAGTGTGTACATTTCATGTGCTAACAGTAGCCTCATTTTCCATATTTATTATTCATAACATATTTGACACTAAAACCATTGATACATCTAGGCTTGGAAGGACTAGATTATTGGTAAATGTCAAGTTCATCATGCACTCACAAACTGATGAAAAAATTGTTTAATAGATCATAAAAATTTAGAGGTAGGCAAATTAAAAAACACGCTGCTTGAGAATTTAATAGAATTTGATTTAAGGATATTTACTTTGTATATTTTGACACGATGTTGAAAATTTGTGTTTTAATGGTTATAAAGCTGAAATTTTGAATCTCAACATCTACTGTCATTAAATTGTCTAACCACCACGTAATTTTCTGCAACTATGAAAACAAATTTATAAAAATAAAAAAAAAATGCTTAAAACCAAAATTTTGTGCAACTGTGAAAATTTACATAAATCAAAATAGAAAAAACTGCTAAAAACATCATTATTCATCTAAATTATTAAAAAAATTAAAATCAAATTCTGCCATGCCTAAATATATCTATTTATTGATGGAGACTAGCTCTCAGGTTAAGACAAGTCCTACTTTCCACCAATATTATGTCAATTTTTGAGTTTCTTTTTAATATTCTTTAATACAACATATTGTATACAAAATATTTGAATACAACAATAGCAAACTGTTGAATGACCACAGTAGTCCCAATAACAGTCTGATGGTTCTTTTACATATGGTGCCATAGGTACCTTAGCCTTTGCCTGAGGCCACCCCGGGTGCATTCAGCAGCACAGCATGTACACTCACAGAGTTAATATTAGGCATGTAATTCTCTTGCACAGTGTCACATTTGTATTCTCAAAAGAAAAAGTGACTCTTATAGTGATTAAATAGCGATAATACATAAATAAATTGGACCTCCTCCCTTTCTCAATCTGGTTTTCAGCCAATGTGAAGAAAGCCTCCCAACTGAAAGAGCTTCAGGAGTTCTGGACTGATTCAAGCACAAAGATCCTGGTACCTATGATGTCCGTAACTGGAACATTTCAGTACAAGAGGGATGACAGCAAGAATTTTTCAGTAATCAAAGTTCCTGTCAGTGAGAACACTTTACTCGTGCTGGTGCAGCCTGTCAACAGCAATGACCTGAACCAGATAGAGTCGGAACTTTCCTTGCATCCATCTTCTACTTGGCTGCAAAATCTGTCACCAAGGTATATTTAAATGTACAAACAATCTCACATAAGAATATAGGGATTACGAAAACAGAACAAGCCAATGGCCCATAGCTAGCCAGTTTCCTCTCTCTAACAGTGGCCAGAGCCTTCGGAGGAAGGCATAACAACCCTTCTGAAACACAACAATGCATCCGGCTGTGCAACACCATTACACCAGGGGATGATCAGTTGTCTAGAAGCATGAGGAAAGCTAGCCCTTGTATTTATCCTAGCTCGGGACAACTACGTGTGTTCTCAAGTCACAACTTTTCAACCTTATTTTGTCCCCTCCTTTTACGTGTTGATTGGAGTTTGGCTTCAATGGGGCCAAGATTTTACCCCTGCTATTTTGCCTCTTCCCAAAAAAGCAAAAAACAAACAAAAGCCTTGCTAGAACTGGTAATACAGGCCCCATCAATGGGGCTACTCATGCTTAAAGTTAAACACTTACCTAAATGCTTTAGGGCCATATTTCATTATCACTCCACCCAGAATAGTGGGCTAGTTACCCCTCAGAAACAGCACACACAGCTTCTATTGGTCTGACACACTGAAAAATGATTATTCTTGTATGCCTATACACACAACACCTCTGCTTAGCCTCCACTGGTTTTAAAATCCAACGTCATTTTATGAGTTTTCCCCCCATAGATATTGGTGGAACAATAATCATTCATACCTTTCTTTTTTTAAATATATTTTCTACAGACATATTAAATTATCTTTGCCAGAGTTAACAATACAAAGCGCGTATGACCTTCAGGAACTGCTCACGAACATGAATTTGTCTGCACTGCTGGGGAAGAAAGCAAATCTTACTAAAATAAGCGATGCCAATCTTACTGTTGGAAAGGTACAGTAATGCCATCCATATTAAGAAACACCTTCACCCATGTATTTTGTCCAACCAAATGTATGTAAATCAGCTAAAAATATAACACAACAAACAGCAAAGACAGTGGTAGTGGTGTTGGGGGTGGGGGTGGGGGAGAAGGGCCATACTGAATGGCCATACTGAATGGCCATGAACAACAAAGTAACTGCTCTGGGAACAACCCCCAGGCTGAAGTTTGTTTGCATAAACGGTTCAGACATCATCGCTACTACATGCATTAAAATAGCATCACAATCAAAAAGTCAGGTTTGAGGTCCTATTGCATAAGGCGCTGTACAAAAATATAGGGAGACAGGGTCCCTGTCGATTATAAATAATGTAATAGAACTCTAAGTTTGTTTATGAGCAGGAGCATGGTTTGACAAATGTATTCCGCTATGAATATTTCAGCAAGCTCAAACTGTAACCTCTGTAGCTGAAGGAGGGCTGTAGGTATTCGGCTGTTCAGTGCCCTCCCTGAATATTTCAAAGCCCATGGGGCACAGGAGCTGCTACCTTACCTGAAACCTGCATCTGGAACATGGACACACTAGATCAGTGTTTCTCAACCTTTTTGGGCTGGCAGCTCACTTTGGACTTAAAATTTTTTGTTTTGATCCTCCCCTCCCTAAGCCTGAGCATGGACTGAAGCATGTAACTTAGCTTCATAGGGCCCTCTGTGGTGGGGTCAATTACCCTGCTTGCCATCCCTAATGCCAGTCCTGCACTTGTGCCACCTCCCCTGCCCCCGAACCCATCCCACGACCCCCAGGTTGAGAAACGCTGCACTAGACTGTTAAGATGACAACTGTGCATCGAATCGGGATGGTCTATTTATTTTACCTTGTTTTTGTGTGTTCATTTTTCCAAGTGGCATCATTTGTATGGTTACTACAGACACACACTGCTTTTATATAGCGCTATTCATATTCAAAACACTGTACAAACATCAACTAGTCCATCTATCAACTAATTTCCATATAATCAATGGCTGATTTAATGTGTTACTAATGAATCTTCTTTCAAACCTTTAAAAGATTTATCCTTTGCAAGTTAATACCCAGGTAGATAGCTTCTGAGACCTAGCTAATTTCCAAAGTTGAGAGATGGTCACTGAGCAATGGAAGGAAAACTTCTGAATGCTGGGGTAGGTTTTTGTTGCTCCAAAAGTGCCATCCTGACTTTATATATCAAGAACCCTCTCTCACCCTGTTAACAGGCAATCAGCAGAAAGGAGGCAGCACCTGGAACTTAAGTCAGAGGTAAAGAAATAAGTCTGTGCAGAAAACCAGTGCAATGAGGTTGTCAGGAAGTGAGAGACATTGCCTATTTGGGGGCAGAAACCTAACATCCAGCCCTGAGGGGGAAGACTAGGGAGGTGGTCTTTATATTCATGAAAAGGAGAAAAGTATTCTTGGAGACAGCATGCGTGACTTTACTCCTGATTTTTCTACCTAGATGGACTGATTAGGGTGAAATCTCACCCCATCAAAGTGAATAGGATTTCTATATTTATCCCGTAGAATCAGGCTGTTTGCCAAGTTGTCTAGCTTCTTTTTTTGGTGTGAGTGCTTTATTAGAACAAACACCTCAATTATCTATAAACTGCATCTGATGTGTTTACTGCTGATCTCCATGACACTGGTTATTACGAGTAAATGAAAATACTTCATAGGCTTTCATTTATCACTTCACTTTCATGCTCTGGTGACTCCAGATTCACTTACATATTTGCTTTTCAGGTTATAAATAAGGCCCTTTTCAAACTGAAGAACGGAGATGATCTACCAGAAGACCTCTTAGAAGAAAATGAAGGCTTGCTGCCACTGGAAGTAACACTGAACAAACCGTTCCTACTAGCAGTTTATGAGAAGAATTCAAAGGCAATGGTTCTAATTGGCAGAGTAACAAACCCACTGAATGGTTTTTAAAGCCAGGGGCTGTGGGGTGGGGGGAGTGGAAAGAAGGGCAAAGGGATAGGCAAAGTATCCCATGTTTCTAATCCCCATTTCCCTCTGCTATCTATGATCCTGTTGAGCAGCTGGAGTTAGCTTTGAAGTGAAGCAGATGGTATTTCAAATACAACTTTTAAAAGATAAAATGCTAGTGATAATTGTGTATTTTCCCCCCCCCCCAATTAGTCATCCACTGAGAGGGAGAAAAACCTTTTGTCTGTCTGTTGGGAACATGATGATTCCAGTGTGAAGTTTGACTGCTTAACATAACTGGTGTTTTACTGCAGAGAATGTAAAGAAGGGGTATCTTCAGCTCTTTTATACATTTGAAAAGTTGGGTGGTTGTGTGGGAGCAGCACAGATTGTATTACAGAAGTAGTATTAAAACAATACCATGTGAGCATGCTTTTGGGATGTTTCTCTCCCCCGCCCCCTCCCCATCCGAATGGAAAATAATATGCATTTCCTAACTGTATTGGGAAGCTAAAATAAGCTTGGTTTGCATTGATGAACTGAAAGAGCAACGTTATTACACACACCTCTTTGGAAAGCCTTATTTTTCCACTAGAAAAGTTCAGATGATGATTTTTAAAACCACAAATCATTATTTATACATCTACACTGAGAGCCATTTATTATGACCTTAATGGAAGAAACTACTGTACTACTTTAATACGGCTATATATATGCTCTAATATATATATATATATATATATATATATATATATATGCTCTAATAAATTTGTTAGTCTCTAAGGTGCCACAAGTACTCCTGTTCTTTTTACTGTACTACTATTTAGGGACCAGCTCTGTAATTCTTAACTCTCATTGAGTAGTTCTAGCTCAAGCACATAGTCCTGTTGGAAGTAATTTGGGACTTGTGACATGAGTAAGTGCCACTACATACGAGTCAAGGTTGCAGAACCAAGCTCTTAGGGCCGAATCAGTCAAGTCACTGAAGTCAATAGATTCCCTGTTGGCTCTAATGGGAGTGTAATCAGGCCCTTGGATTGTAAATTTGTGGAGGTAGGGGCTGTGGATGAAATCCAGACCTACTGAAGTGAATGGGAGTTTTGCCATTGATTTCAAAGGAGCCAGGATTTCACCCCTTGTCTGACGACCTGTCTGTAGCACACACCACACTGTTGGCACTTTACAAATAGTGCTAAAATGCTCCAGAATGCAACCTTTTACACATCCTAATAGACAAGAGTAACTAATACAGCCAAATCTGGAAGGACTATGATTTCAAATGCAGTATCTATATATTTATTTGATTATGCAGTATGTATTCCAGAAGACACTAACATTTAAATACTGTGCTTGCATTTACACAAGCAACTTTTACTTTAAATATTTAAACTAGGAAAAATTCAAATAAAACATTTACAAATGGCCTTGTCAGTACTATAGTTAACGTACAGTTTATAACTGGATCCCTCATTCATTCCCACTTTTGAGATTTGCTGTAAATCTTAGATTCACATTTTACAACAGAAGTTAAGCTGTAACTTAGCACACCATGCGCACGGGCATAGATGCCAGTGTAATATAGACAACTGCCAAACTTTCAGAACTCTGGTATTGATTTAAAAACCTGTCCCTTCCCATCATCAAAGCGCAAGAGGCTTTATTTTCCTGGTGAACATTGTATTACCCCACATGCATCATTCAGCAAACAGACAGCTCTCCTAGCAGTGGTGCTAGGGAGTTCTGTAGCAAGAAAGCATTATCCACAGACAAGGAATTCCATATTGTCTGACTTCCCTGCTCTGCCCAGGTAATGCTAATGAGAGCACTTAGCAGAAGGGGAGATGCGTAGCAGTGGTCCCATGCAGTGGATGCTTAGTGAGGAGGAAAGGAGAGCACATGCACCAGAGGAAAAGGATACAGTGCTACGGGCAAAAATGAGTGGATTATGAGTAACAGTGAAGGCTAGGAAGTGGTAAATGCTGGCTCAAGCACTGCAGCATTGTGAGGATGAGATGCAAGCTTACATGGCATTTAAAGACTCGGTGACTATATAAAAATGCACTGTACTTCGATTTGTTCCCATTGTCTGTTATGAGTTTTAAAAGTTTACTACTTTTTACTCTCCTTCGCCCTGCAGAGTCAATAAAGCCACGAGAGAAAGATCACCTCCTCTCTGGCTCACCACCAGAATTGGTAAAGCTGCAGGATCTTTAGTACTGGGGATGCTGCATAAGCCAGGAAGAACCCAGATTGATTTTCATGCCCAAGGGTGAATCTGCAAGGCTGGCATTTAGAAAAGCTCTCTAAACTGAGCATATTTGTGCAGGACTTATAGAGAGAATGGATATTTCTCTGGAAACATCCACTCAATGTGCAGTGGGAGTCAAAAAAGCGAACAGAATGTTGGGAATCATTAAGGGGTAGATAATAAGACAGAAAATATCATCTTGAATACTGCGTGCAGATGTGGTTGCCCCATCTCAAGAGAGATTTATCAGAATTGGAAAAGTTTCAGAAAGGGGCAACAAAAATTATTAGGGGTATGAACAACTGCTGTATGAGGAGAGATTAATAAGACTGGGATTTTTCAGCTTGGAAAAGAGACAACTAAGGGGGAATATGATAGAGGTTAATAAAATCATGACTGGTGTGGAGGAAGTAAATAAGGAAGTGTTATTTACTCCTTCACATAAGAACTAACGGTCACAAAATGAAATTAATAGGCAGCAGGTTTAAAACAAACAACAGGAAGTATTTATTTCCACAATGCACAGTCAACCTGTGGAACTCCTTGCCAGAGGATGTTGTGAAGGCCAAGACTATAACAGGGTTCAAAAAAGAACTAGAGAAATTCATGGAGGATAGGTCCATCAATGGCTATTAGCCAGGTTGGGCAGGGATGGTGTTCCTAGCCCGTTTGCCAGAAGCTGGGAATGGGTGAGGGGATGGATCACTTGATGATTACCTGTTCTGTTCATTCCCTCTGGGGCACCTGGCATTGGCCACTGTCAGAAGACAGGATACTGGGCTAGATGGACCTTTGGTCTGACCCCAGTATGGCCGTTTTTACATTAATCTTATTTTACAGTGTACAACTGCACTATAAATTCTATTTAGGCATACCACAAACAAAAAACACCACATTTTAGGTCTGCCATTTCTCAACAAAACAAACATTTTATTTAAAAAGACGGCCGGGGCATTAAGCTTTTCTATTACTCACAAGTACGTTCTTTATCTATAATTTCCCATTCATGTGTCAAGACTCAGGATACTGCCATATTACTTATCTCACATTTAATACCTTTCGATAGAAAAACCAGGACTATTAAATTCCTCAAAGCCTTTTGATTAGTACAATAATGCCCTACTCTTTGGGGATTTCAGGCTTCTCAGCTGAAGTTTGTGGCTCACCAATAGTTCACAAAATGAAATATTCAGCAAACAATGCAGTGGCAGATAGAGTCTCTTCTCCTTTCTCTGCCATATCCCCTAACAATGGTCCATAGAATGAAGTAGTTAAACACTGAGCTAATTGATTAACTTAATATATTAATGTTGATGTAAGCTATTTTCTATTTAAAACAAGACCATGTTTCTTCCCCCCAAAGAAAGTGTGGAAATGTAGTGATTGATAGAGGAGAATGAGAAAACAGTACACTCAGCTGAGAGGATCTGGCTGTGGAATAAACTTCTGGAGATCAGAAGAATCCAGACTTCAATCAACCTTTAGAAAAATACTACAAAAGCTTCTTTAATAAAGCTTTTCAGTCATAATCCATGATATTCACAGCAACCACCCCTCGCACCAAAAGAAACTCTACTTCAAGACTTTTCCGTAAACTAAAAAGTGAGAAGAGCCAGACTCTTCAAGAAGTCCATTAAGGCCTTTGAGACCACAAATCTACCGTACTTTATACAGAAAATGCTCAGTTGCTAGGAGTAGCCAGTTGTGTAAAAATCTATGATAGAAGAGGACTAGAGGTAGGGTGCAGAATCGGGATCTTTCATAACTAGATGTTCTCTGAAAAATCCAATGAGTTTTTGAAAGAAGGAGGTAAACGCTCCATCATCAAAGTATTCACTGTAGAGACAAGATAGATTCTCCTGTTCCAGTTCCCCTACACTATTTGGAAAGTGTGCCTCGTTAAACAACTTTCAAAGAGGGGACCACTTCACCTCTCATCTGGCATCTTGTAAGAGGTTATTGCAAATCTCACCAAAAGATATTGAAATGCTACTCTCCTTTCTTTATCAAAAAATAGAGCAGACTAGGGATACTGACGTAGAAAACGGAGATGTAAATATACATTTGTATAACAGCCAGAAGAGCCTTTAAGTCTTCACTTGTTTGCTATATGGTCGTTGCTTCCTCTTCTCAATTTAAAGCTGGTCTTGAGCAGAAACGAAATTGAACTATATACACAAATGGGCGTGGGGGTCCTGAGAGAAGGAAAGAGCCTTGTGGTTTAGAGAAAAAGATTTGGCAAATAAAGCACAAAATATTCCATCTGCACATAGTGGGCCATGCAGGCTTTGGAATTCACTATTATGTCAGGAATATAGTTGAATTTAAATCCATGCACATCCCACAAAGTAAAAAGTGGTTCCACCAATCTTAAGAAAAGATGTCATCTTCCACAGCACTAACAAAGGCATTATTCCTGGCTTTCAGGAAGAGATGCTGACTGCAATTTAAATGACAATCAATGGCTACCAATCAGACATGATTTTCCACTATTTTACAGAAATTGAGACAGTAATACTGTAAGTCTAGAAAATGGAGGCCAGATTCTATTAAATTTAAATTAAAAGGTGGATTCTTAACAGGTGAAAAATTCTTACTGCAAGCTATATACCGAACACACTACCAAAATACACTTTAACGTATTCTTTTGTTCAGTCAGGATGTCACATGCTGTATTTGAAACTCAGTGGGAAGCTGACAGTTATAGCTTGAGAAAAGCTAAATTCAAACTGCATTTTATTAAAAAGATAGGAAGAGGACTCGATTATATTTGAGAAAAGTGACAAGCCTAGCAAACAGTCATGCACAGCCCACCTTACACACAAAATCCAGCGTTAGTTCAGTCCAAGGCATTACAAGTCCTCAATCCAGGGCAGTAAAGGTACTGACTTATCAGTCTGCTTGTCAGGACAAGCACATGGTGGGTTCCACACTGTGCTATCACTTTTGACAACATTCAGTGTATCACATCTTTGCAAAACAAACCACTGCTGCTACTACTATAAAAAGCCCCGTTCTCTATCGCCTTTTACATGTAAAACAACTGGACCTAGCTAGGGCTTCAGGAAACACCCAAAGCTTGAGAAACCTTGAGAAAATTAAAGCTTTTCATAGTATATTTTTAAATACAATACCATCTCCAAGTAATAGCCTGTGACAAAAACTATACGCTCTACCCA